CTAGATCAAAGTTAGTATCAGTTCCCTCCTTTTATTTCAAATGTGATTTCGGATCAAAGGTCATGAATTGATATCTGTTCATTCTTTCATGTCATTTCTCGTTATTTTGGCCGAGATCAAAGTGTAGTATTATTATTTTTATTTCAAACATTTCGGATGACAAAGGTCATGAATTGATAATAAACCTTTCACGCTTTTCTTCATTTTCTTGTCATTTTGGCCTAAGATCAAAGTGTAGTATCTGTTTTCTCATCTTTTATAAGTAAATGAGATTTCGGATGACAAAGGTCATGAATTGATAATAAACCTTTCATTCTTTCATCGAGATACATTTTTTTTTCATGACCATTTGTCTAAGATCAAAGTGTAGTATCAGTTTTCCTCATTTTATTTCAAATGTGATTTCGGATGACAAAGGTCATGAATTGATAATAAACCTTTCATTCTTTTTCTTCATTTCTTGTCATTTTGGCTAAGATCAAAGTGTAGTATCAGTTCTCTCCTTTTATAGTAAAATGTGATTTCGGATGACAAAGGTCATGAATTGATAATAAACCTTTCATTCTTTCATGTCATTTCTTGTCATTTTGGCTAAGATCAAAGTGTAGTATCAGTTCCCTCCTTTTATTTCAAATGTGATTTCGGATGACAAAGGTCATGAATTGATAATAAACCTTTCATTCTTTTTCTTCATTTCTCGTCATTTTGGCTAAGATCAAAGTGTAGTATCAGTTCCTCCTTTTGGTAATTTCAAATGTGATTTCGGATGACAAAGGTCATTGAATTGATAATAAACCTTTCATTCTTTCATTCATTTTCTGTCATTTTGGCTAAGATCAAAGTGTAGTATCAGTTCTCATCTCCTTTTATTAAAAATGTGATTTCGGATGACAAAGGTCATGAATTGATAATAAACCTTTCATTCTTTCATGTCATTTCTGTCATTTTGGCTAAGATCAAAGTGTAGTATCTGTTTCCTCCTTTTATTTCAAATGTGATTTCGGATGACAAAGGTCATGAATTGATAATAAACCTTTCATTCTTTCATGTCATTTCTTTCGTCATTTTGGCTAAGATCAAAGTGTAGTATCAGTTTCTCTCATTTAATATTTCAAATGTGATTTCGGATGACAAAGGTCATGAATTGATAATAAACCTTTCATTCTTTCATGTCATTTAAGATCGTCATTTTGGCCAAGATCTCATCTGTAGTATCAGAGATTTTATTTCAAATGTGATTTCGGATGACAAAGGTCATGAATTGATAATAAACCTTTCATTCTTTCATTCATTTCTTGTCATTTTGGCCTAAGATCAAAGTGTAGTATCAGTTCCTCATCTCTTTTATTTCAAATGTGATTTTCGGATGATTATGAAAATTGAACATTAATAAACCTTTTTTTTGCCATCGAGATGTTTTTCTCCTTTCATTTTGTCTAAGATCAAAAAGTGTAGTATCTGTTCATTCTCATTCTTTTCTTTAAGAGTAAAATGTGATTATCCTTTATATGACAACATCCATTGAATGACAAATAAACCTTTCATTCCTTTCATTCTTTTCTTCATTTTTGTCATTTTGGCCTAAGATCAAAGTGTAGTATCTATCAGTTCATCTCTTTTAATAGTAAATGTGATTTCGGATGACAAAGGTCATGAATTGATAATAAACCTTTCATTCTTTCATCTTCATTTCTTGTCATTTTTGCCTAAGATCAAAGTGTAGTATCAGTTTCCTCATCTTTATTTCAAATGTGATTTCGGATGACAAAGGTCATGAATTGATAATAAACCTTTCATCGAGATACGCTTTTCTTCATTTCTTGTCATTTTGGCCTAAGATCAAAGTGTAGTATATCAGTTCCTCTTTTATTTCAAATAATGATTTCGGATGACAAAGGTCATTGAATTGATAATAAACCTTTCATTCTTTCTTTCCTTCATTTCTTGTCATTTTGGCTAAGATCAAAGTGTAGTATCAGTTATTCTCATCTCTTTTAGTAAATGTGATTTCGGATGACAAAGGTCATTGAATTGATAATAAACCTTTCATTCTTTCCTTCATTTCTTGTCATTTGGCTAAGATCAAAGTGTAGTATCTGTTATTCTCCTCTCTTTTATTTAAATGTGATTTCGGATGACAAAGGTCATGAATTGATAATAAACCTTTCATTCTTTCATGTGTTTTCTCTTCATTTTTGGCCAGATCAAAGTGTAGTATCAAGTTCCTAGTTTTTATTTCAAATGATTTCGGATGACAAAGGTCATGAATTGATAATAAACCTTTCAACATTCATGTCATTTCTTGTCATTTTGGCGAGATCAAAGAGTAGTATCAGTTTCCTTTTATTTCCTTTTTATTTCAAATGTGATTTCGGATGACAAAGGTCATGAATTGATAATAAACCTTTCATTCATTTGATTTCGAGGAAAGGTCATTGTAATAAAACATTCTTGTCATTTTGGCTAGATCAAAGTTTAGTATCAGTTCCTCCCTCCATTTTATTTCAACCTTTATTCTTTATGTGATTTCGGATGACAAAGGATATTGAATTCAACATTAATTGACCTCGCTGACATTCTTTACTTGAGATACCTTTTTCTTTCATTGTTTTTGACCATTTGGCTAAGATCAAAGTGTAGTATCTCCTTTTCTCATCTCTAATTTCGGATAAAGGTCATGAATTGATAATAAACCTTTCATTCTTTGAAATCATTTCTCGCATTTTTGGCCGAGATCAGCCAGTGTATCGAGTTCCCTCCTTTTATTTCAAATTGATTTGGATGATCAAAGGTCATGAATTGATAATAAACCTTTCATTCTTTCATGTCTCATCTCGTAATGGTAGATCAAAGGAGATATTAGTTCCCTTTTTTTACATCAAATGTGACGGATGACAAAGGTCATGAATTGATAATAAACCTTTCATTCTTTCTTCATTTTCTCGTCATTTTGGCTAAGATCAAAGTGTAGTATCTGTTTTCTCATCTTTTATTTCAAATGTGATTTATGATGACAAAGGTCATGAATTGATAATAAACCTTTCCATTTTTTTCGTCATTTTGGCCAAGATCAAAGTGTAGAGTTCCCTCCTTTTTTATTTCAAATTGATTTCGGATGACAAAGGTCATGAATTGATAAACCTTTCATTCTTTCATGTCATTTCTCGTCATTTTGGCTAGATCAAAGTGTAGTATCAGTTCCTCCTTTTATTTCAAATGTGATTTCGATGACAAAGGTCATGAATTGATAATCTTCTTTCATTTTCATTCTTTCTAAGATTTTGTAGTATCTGTTATTTCATCTCTAAGGTCATGAGATAAACCTTTGTATTATCTTATATTCATTCCTTTTTATTTCAAATGTGATTTCGGATGACAAAGGTCATGAATTGATAATAAACCTTTCATTCTTTCATGTGTCATTTCTCGTCATTTTTCTAGATCAAAGTGTAATATCAGTTATTCCTTTTATTTCAAATGTGATTTTCGGATGACAAAGGTCATGAATTGATAATAAACCTTTCATTCTTTCATGTCATTTGGTCATTTTTAAGATCAAAGTGTAGTATCAGTTTCCTCCTTTTATTTCAAATGTGATTTCGGATGACAAAGGTCATGAATTGATAATAAACCTTTCATTCTTTCATGTCATTTCTCGTCATTTTGGCCTAAGATCAAAGCAAAGTGTAGTATCAGTTCTCTCCTTTTATTTCAAATGTGATTTTTAATGACAAAGGTCATGAATTGATAATAAACCTTTCATTCTTTCACTTTTCTTTTCTTCGTCATTTGGCCTAAGATCAAAGTGTAGTATCAGTTCCCTCTCTTTTATTTCAAATGTGATTTCGGATGACAAGGTCATGAATTGATAATAAACCTTTCATTCTTTCATGTCATTTCTCGTCATTTTGGCAGAGATCAAAGTGTAGTATCAGTTCCTCCTTTTATTTCAAATGTGATTTCGGATGACAAAGGTCATGAATTGATTAATAAACCTTTCATTCTTTCATGTCATTTTTACGGACCACCATGGCTTAAGATCAAAGTGTAAGCATCTGGCTACCTTTTAGGGCGTATTAGTGCGCCCGGGTCCACCGGTTGAGATAAACTGTTTTACATCGATGAACCTCAAGGACGAAATGTGTCACATGAAATTTCTTTTCCACTTTGTCATAGATTATTTTTACATTGGTATACAATTGTCATACACAAAATGTAACGACTAATACGGGTCGGTGTTTCTATTTTTTAGATAAATAGTCGAAATATAAAGTTGGATCGAGAACTGGAGAATCAAAGGGAGCCGGAGTTTGGAAAATTTAAACCAAAAATACACGCAAATGTAAAATGATGAATGAAAACGAAACGAAACGAAATTGAAAGAAATCAGACGAAAGAAGGTGAATTATATAGGTAGAAAAATCTTTTTTAAAATTTCTAAACGGAAAAATAAATGAAAAGAAAGAAAAAAATAAAAGGGATAAAAAAAATCCCAGAAGAAAGATCAATCGTGCGTGATTACTGGAAAATAAAATACAGATGGAAATACGATTAGAGTCTATAATAAATTAATTTATAATAAGATCGAAACAAAATAAATAGAAAATAATGTCGAGTAGATGACAGACATACGATGAAAACTAAAAACAAACGGAGAGAGATGAAAGAAGTGTGAGGAAAAAAACTAAAAAAGAGGAAAGAATTTTTAAAGAGAAGAAGAATTAGATAAAGGAAATAAAATAAAATAAAGAAAGACGAGAAAAAAATGAGAAAAACGAACGTAGATAAAGAAAGAAAAATGCAGAAATAGATAAGAATATTTGAGGGAAAGAGAAGAGAAAAAAATGGAAAACAAAAGAATGGTTGAAATGATAAAAGAAGAAAAAGAGAAATTCAAAGAAGAAAAATATAACAAAGAATGGTGAAAAAGAAAGGGTAAAGGATAAAGAATACGAAGAAAAAGATCAAGAAGAGAGAAAAAGAAAGAAAAGGGAAAACAATTAAAAAGAAAGAAAAAAGAAAGAAAGAAAGTAAGGAAGAAAGACTGAAAGAAAGACAGAAAGAAAGAAAGACAGAAAGAAAGAAAGAATGAATGAACGAAATAAATAAATAAAGAAAGAAAGAAAGAAAGACAGACAGACAAAATGACAGAAAGAACGAAAGACAGACAGAAAGTAAGTAAGAAAGAAAGAAAGAAAGACAGAGAGAGAAAGAAAGAAAGACAAAAAGAAAAGTAGAAAAAGAGAGAGAAGGAAAGACAGAAAAAATGCAGAAAGAAAGAAAGAAATACAGACAGAAAGTAAGTAAGAAAGGAAGTAAGAAAGAAAGAGAGGAAGAAAGAAAGAAAGAAAAAAGAGAGAGAGAGAAAGAAAGAATGACAAAAAGAAAAAGAGAGAGAAAGAAAGACAGAGAGACAGAAAAAAGGCAGAAAGAAAGAAATACAGACAGAAAGTAAGAAAGGAAGAAAGAAAGAAAGAAAAAGAGAGAGAGAAAGAAAGACAAAAAGAAAGAGAGAAAGAAAGAGAGACAGAAAAATGCAGAAAGAAAGAAAGAAATACAGACAGAAAGAAAGAAAGAAAGAAAGAAAGAAGAAAGAAAGAAAGAAAGAAAGAGAGAGAGAGAGAGAAAGTAAGAAAGAAGAAAGAAAGAAAGAAAGTAAGAAAGAAAGAAAGAAAGAGAAATGAAATAGAATGAAAGTAAGATAAAGTAGAATGGGAAAAGAAATAAACAGGAAAAAAAAAGAAAAAAGATCTAGAAAAAAAGAAAGAAATTGCAGATTAGAAATAGAGATAGAACAAGCCTATGGAAAGAAAGAAAAGGAAAATAAAGAAAAAGGAGAATGAGAAAAATAAAAGAAAAAGCGAAGCGATACAGGAAATCAAAGAAAGAAGGAAAAAATATAAAAGAGTAAAAAGAGATAAGAAAAACGAAAGAAATCGGAAAATTGAAAAAAAAAAAAAAACCCAAAAACAGACAAAAATGAAACAGAAATAACGATGATCTTTATTTAAGGCCATGTCATCGTGCATCTCTCGCCCAGAACTGGAAACCTATCTCAAATCTCGTCTTTCAACTGGGAACGAAATATTTTTGCTTCGCTTTCGGTTTGCGACATTTCGCTGCTTTAGAAATTCAAAGAAACACTGGGGGATTAAGACTAATTAATTTGGATCGTAAAGTTATTACCGTATATCTTAGAATATTTTTCTTTACTAAAGTTTTATTGCAATTAATTTATTTTTGCTGAGATTTGGATCCAGAATTTCCCACCCAACTAACAAGGGTAAACGAAATGTTTATATGCATTTTGATGTTTGACATATCCACGTTAAAAAAATGAATGACGCACAAACTATATAAGAACGATGAATTCTTGAACAAAAATATGACATGAAACAAGATTAAAATGAAATAACTTTTTTATTTTATTTATTTTATTGGTTAGAATTAAATTAACTATTATAAGGCTGACTGATTTTTTAATAAATATACTTTTTATGACTATAGAGTAGAAAAAATGGGCTCTTAGAAATGCGTGGTTAAGCAACTGGGTTACAGCTAACGTTTTGGACTCTTCCTTTAAAATAACTAAGATATAGGATTGAATTAATTGAATCTAATTATGACATTAACGCTCACAACGTTCTTAAATTATTTTTCATTAATTCTGTAGAATAAGATATCAAGTTTGCTCCTAGCTGATGATTTTTAACAGTAAACTAAAATTCAACAGACTTTTTGAAAAATGCCCTTTAGAAAGAAAAAACCCATGAGAAAATAATTTTTATCATTAATATATTTGTAGTTATGGATAACAATATCATAAAGAAAAAATTAAATTAAGTTTATGCAACAATTAATAGCATTTTCAAATAGATTTCGCAATGCAAAAACAGAAATGAAGAAAAAAGTCTTCGGAAGACATGTCTGTTAAAATTAAACATGACAAAATATTAATAAAATTAACTTTCTTACGAGGGATTTTGTAAAATTGGTAATAAAATATTAGGGAATTATTAAAATTATCTTTCTTGGGAGAGAATTCTACGAATCACAATTCCGTAGAAAAGAACTGCCAAAAGTATGTTTCCCTTATCACTACAATCTTAACCGTTATCTTCTCCTTCTCGCTGTATAAACTATTACCGTAATCCTCTACATCAATTGATCTTGAATAGGGTGAACCTAACTGTAACCCCCCCACCCCAAAAACCCCCCGAATACTTTCTTCTTCTTCTTCTTCTTCTTCTTCTTCTTCTTCTTCTTCTTTCCGTTCTTCTTCTCTTCATCATCTTGCTTCCGATTCTTCTTCTTCTTCTTCTTCTTCTTCTTCTTCTTCTTCTTCTTCTCATCATCCTCTCCCCTTCCGTTCTTCTTCTTCTCCTTCTTCTTCATCTTCTCCCTTCCGTTCTTCTTCTTCTTCTTCTTCTTCTTCTTCTTCTTCTTCTTCTCGTCACCCCCTCTCCCTTACGTTCTTCTTCTTCTTCTTCTTCTTCTTGT